TATTTTTTATGTAAAAAAATATATATTTAATCGTATTTTTGAATTTATATTTTTGAAATTTTTGTTTAAAAATTTTTTGGAAAAAAATCAATTTCATTGTGGTTTATAAATATATATTATATTTTTTAAAAATCTTTAATTTTTTTGAATAAATTAATTTTTAAAAACATAAACAATTGAAATTTTACTAAACGTTAAAAGTATATTTAATAGTGCTTTTTTAGAATTTATATGGTGTATTATCGTTTAATAATTTATATAAAAACTTAATTTTATTTTTGAGAATTTATATTTTGTAATTATTCTATAAATAATTTTTACGGAAAAAAATCATTTTTATTGAATATTGAAAGAATATTTAATTCTTTTTTGAAAGAAAAATAAATTAAAATGCGGTATATCTTAATGGAATCATAATGAAACGGAAAATTTCATTTTAAAATAAACTTTACATTTGATTTATTTTTTTAAAGAAAAAACGAAAGAAATAAGATAATTGATATTTATTAAAATATTTTTTAATGCAAATTAAAATCATGTTATTAAATTTTATCATAAAAATTAGAAAATTATATGTTTTTTTTAATTAAAAAATTTAAGTTGTGGTGAATTTTTCTCTCTCTTGTATTAAAAAAATTGTTTCTCTTAATTTTAAAAAACATCATTTTAAATTGCATTTTTTAAATTTAAATTGTTTTTTTGGACAATCAGTTACAAGTAGATTTAAACAAATGAAGTAAATGAATGTAAACAATGTCAAGTATTTATTTTTAAAATTTAAAATTTTAAAATTGCTATTTTTTTAAAAAAAAAGTAAAATTTCAGTTGAAAAGTTAAAAAATTGCGAAAAATACCACAATTTTTTTGAAAATTATTTAAAAAATAAAACATTTTGGTTTTTTTAAAATAAAATATCATGTTTAAGTCACTCGAATTAATTTTTAAAAAGTGTTTTTTTTATTAAAAAATTTCGTTTCAGTTAGTTTGAAAAACTCAGTATTTTGTAAAGCTAGGTGCAATTTGTTAAAAACCAAAATACAATCGAACCTCCAATAACGACCACCTCCTAACTACGACCACCTCTAAACAGAGATCATTTTTTTAAATTTTGTATTCGTATTTTTTGAACAAAGAGAGACTCCAAACAATGGCCACCTGTCTACAACGGTCATTTTTTTTATTTTTCGGGTAGTTGCCGTTGAAAGACTTTTAAAAAAATATTTTCTATTAATCTAAAAAAATGTAGTTTCTTTACAAGTTTTCATTTAATTTCTTAAAGTTTCGTTTCTTTATACATTTAAGTTAATTTACAAAATGCTCTTTTAAGTTAAAAAAAATCAGTTTCTAGTTGATTTTTTTGTTTTTTTTTTTAATTTAAAAAAGTGATTTAAAAAAAATACAACTGTTTTGCTAGAAAAGAAATTTTTTAAGGAAACGTTTTAGTAAATATATAATACGCTATCATTTGATCTCCAGTTCTACATTTCTGTGAGTTTTTAGAAAAAAAGGAAGAAGATAAAATTGCTAATTCTTGATTAGAGAAAATTAAATAAACGTTAATTTTAAATGATTCAATTCAAATGATTACGTAGACTTTACTAAACGAATTAATGAATATCAGGTCATAGTTCTCAAGAGTGATCGATCATAAGTCTAACCTCTTCCACTCTACGACCAGATGGACTACATTTTCTCTTAATTATATCTTACTTGTTAGAATTGACGAACCAAGAAACTCTACGATTACAGAATAAACTCTAATTATCGAAAAATAATGATAGATTTTTTTAAAAATAAATTTACAAAAAATTACTATTTACATTGAGAATTCAACACCAATATTCTTAACGATAAAACAATGATTAGGTGCTATCAAGTATATCAAAATAACATATTTTTAAATAAAATTTAAAAAAATATATAATATAAATTATCTTTTTAAAAATGCCAATTTATGAGCTATATTTGAGGAATTTTTTTTACAAATTAATAATTTATGAATAATTTTTTAGCTGTAGCTTATATTACACAATATGAATTTATTAGAATTTATACCGAAAAAAATTAATTTTTAATAAAATATTATAAGCTTTTATAAGGTCTATTTTTAATTTATCAGATAATAATTGGGTTGCAATTTGAAAAAAATTCAGACGTATAAATTCCTACTGTCCTTTCTTAATTTCGAGAACGGTGCTAGACAGATGAAAGTCCAGACTAGATATGAAAATCTGAGGGGAACGATATCCTGATGAACTGTATATATCCTTCCAATCCGGACCGATAGTCACGTGATTTCAATTCAAATATTTTCTCCACAATAGAGTTACATACATGACAGGCATGGCTCTGTTGTTATTGGGAAAAGTATAATGTACAGGGGCAAGACATTACTAATTTGAGATCTAGATCATATATTTTAAATGAAATTTATTAAAAATATGACTAAAAATTGCAGCCAGGCATTGTTAGGATGGCACAATAATTTTCGCTGGTTTTTGCTTTAAATTTTAAGGAAAATAATGGATTTTTATGCTGATATTTTACGAGTTCCGCATTATTATATACGAGATGTGTCGAATAAATTAATAATTTATTTAAAAATTTATTAAAAATTTAATAAAAAAATAAACTAAAATACTGTAATATTAAATTATTAATAGAGAGAATAAAATTTATTAAGATCTCTAAACATAAAATTTATTGCTCTCGAAATAAATTTCAATATGTAATACTTACAGTTCATATCAATAGTGATGGAAGACGTAATGGGAAGAGATATATTATTATTCTGGGCATGGCAAGTGATGACAGTCATTAAGTCATTCCGTCGTAAAGTGTTAATTTCGAGTTCGTTTCTTATCACTCCATGAGGGGTGACTTTAAACGTGTCATCTAACAAAACCGTATCTTTCCACCAAGTGACAGCGGGTAATGGTTTACCTAAAGTACATGAACCAAAAGTAGTTTATTGCATATTTTACGTGTTATATATTATATAAACACTTCAAAAATTGTAATATATATATTTATTTAATAAATTCACCTCCTTCGACTTCACAAATAAGTGTAAGTGTGTCACCAATATTGTGCGGCCCAAAAGTAGTTTATTGCATATTTTACGTGTTATAAATTGTAATATATATATTTATTTAATAAATTCACCTCCTTCGACTTCACAAATAAGTGTAAGTGTGTCACCAATATTGTGCGGCCCGCTTACTTGATGAAGAATTTCACCATTTTTATCCATAATAATTGGTTTTTTAGGTGGTACTAGGTAGTAAAAATGATAAATTACTTATTTAAACAGATTTAAGCTGTTTCTTTTTAAAAGCATTTAATGTAAAAAGTTAAGATTTAATGTGGGTTGGAGGAGAAGAATTGGTTAAAGTATATTGCGCGAAAGCTTAATTAAATTGTAAAGCAATTTAAATTGTATACCAATTTTTCAGTATAAAAAGTATTACCAACTACTTCGAGTATAACCACTGAATTTCTCGATCTGGCCTTTTTAAAATCCACTCTACAACGATACTCTCCTTCGTCAACAGAAGAAAGGTTGTCAAGCTGTAAGATTGCTGGGTTGTTGGTTATTATTAGATAAGATCTCCTACCCACTTCTTCACTAGCAGCGTGTCGTGCTTGACTTAAACTTCCACGTCGAGCATCTAAACTATAGAATGGAGTTGTCATCTCGTCTTTATACCAAAGTACTAGAGCAACTGCATCATCTAGTGAAGGTGGTGTGATGTCACAAGGCAAAAGGACTTGGCTACCTTCCAAACCAACTACAGTCTCCGTAACTTCTGGAATATCACAAAACAAAACACCATGTGAGCTTATATATATATATTATATGATTTACAATATGCTATAATCTTCAAAGTTATGTAAGTAATGTCAAAATTCTAGTTTTTCTACTCAAATACTTTAAGGCTTTTGCAGACCGAAAACGGTACATTATCCACATAACTTATTGCAATATCATTGCTTAGTTTTTAAGAATTTTGACATTAAACTAAAAGAAAAAAAAAAGGATAAGAATAAAAATAACAATTTATATATAATATTTTTCTTTTATATTTTAGTAGAAAATTGTTTTTTGAGGTGTTTTAATCGAACAATTTAATATAAAGTATATATATTTTTTCTAGTATTAAATTTAAAATACTACTACATATTTTAGAGAAGTATTTTATTTAAAAATCTAAATAAAATTCTTTAAATTATTATTGTTTTTCATTACTTAAAAGTACAATTTTTGTTTGTAGAATAATAAATTTATTATTTAAAGTATAAAGTATATATATATATTCTTTTAACAGTTTTTCTTTGAAATTCTAGATATCTTTTATGTTGAAATTTTTAACTTTAAATGGCATTTACAGTGTAGGTGACCTACTTTATGCAGAAACATCTCAAAAATCTTTTTGCAAAAATCCACTTTTTCGTAATCGAGTTTTCTAAAATCTGAATGTCAAGATAAAACTGATGGATCGAAATATTCCCTTTTAAAAATATTCACTAAAACTATTCAGAAAATATTATTTTATATCATAATTTTTTGATTATATTTAAAGTAATCACTACATATATATACACATACAATAAATCTATAAAAAAACTATCTTAATTCGAATAAATCATTATTAATAATAATTAAATTAATTTCCTATAATTATTTATTAATAAAATGCTTAAAAATTGTGCAATTTCTTCACTAAACATAGCAATAATTATGAAATTTATATACTCCTCCTCATTATCACTTCGGATGCTTCTACACCTCATTACTTTTAAAATTATTATAATTAATTTAAATTATTCTTTTTACAGTAAATTATTAACTGAAGAACTTTACAAATTTTTATACTATTTTTGTATAAAAGACAGAGAAATTCTTATTTATTCAGAAAAAAAAATAAAAAATAAAAAACATTAAAGAAAAATTCTAAACAGGGAAGAAATCGAATTTGAAAAGTTCCATCACTAAGAAAATGTTCTATAAAAAGAATTGAAGTCAGATTGAATTCGGTGACCTCTTAGTAAAATGGGAGAACGGAAAATGCTGGCGATATGCATGGAAACTAAAACCCCATTTGCATTCTTAAAAGATAACGATATTGATAAGTGTTACATACAAATATCAGGAAGGGATGGCTTTACTCATATCTACTCGATTTGTATGTATATATATACACACACACATATCGAATTGAATTAAATGAAAATGAATTTATATTCTAGTTAATGCTCTTAAAAGTGCTGTTTAAGCAGTTATAATGGATATATTTTAATTGTTGTTAATATTTTAATTTGTACTGAGCACATTTTATATATATTTAAAGATTTATTTTTAATTTTTCTACATTATAAAAATACATTTAAAAAAGCTAATATTTTTACCAAATTTACAATTAATAATAATGATTTTATGTAAATTATTTATAAGAAATTTAAATATAACAATTCTTAAATTTCTTAAACTCATTAAAAACGATTAAAAATAAAATAAAAATCTTTAAAAATATTATTAAGAATTTAATTTAAAATTAATGTAAAATTCAAAATTGTTTCTCCAATTAACTAAATACACTTTTTATTTTTATTTTAAAAATTATAAAAATAAACATTTTTAACAATTTTAAAATAGAAAATAATTACTTAAAATTAAAAATAATAATTATTATTATTTTAAACGAAAGGAAAATGAATTTTTAAAGGATTATTTGGACTTTATTTAATAATATTACTTTAAATATATTAAAATTAATTGCGAACAAATTTATAAATCCAATATAAAATTATTTTATTTTATATTGGATTTATAAATTAATTTTATTTATAAAATAAATTTTGTTAAATCTTAATTTTACTTAAAATAATTTAAAACTTAAGATTTGAAAATTGCTTACTTCTAGAGGCTTATAAATTAAAATAATTGCAAAAAAAATAAGTCAATTAAAAGGAAAATTATTAAAATATTTAATTTCAAACCTTTTTTTCTCTTGAAAATAATTTTTTTAGAAGTTAGAAAGATGACAAAAATATCTGAAAAACTGATTTTCTTGCCAATGCTACTACATCATGATATCTATCACCTCTATATAAATAATGGAATAGTTGGAGTAGTGATACGATACTCTTATAAAAAGGTTAAAAATATAGTTTCCGATCAAAAAATTATATACTTTTCTACAATATTTGATGATTTTATTATTCAGATCGAAGTTATCTGATGAGAAATTTGATACAGTCTGTGACTCAGATTCTTAAATTTTCTATCGTCTCTATCATTCAGACAACTTGGGTTTTTTGTATGATAGAGAGCTTAAATTTCCAAAGTTGGAATATAACAATATTTACTTATATGTATATTTATATTTTCTTTCTTTTATAATTAAATATTTAGAAGTATATAATGAGAAATGAATACGTTTCAAGAAAGTATACCGATATATAAAATAAAAAATTGATATGTTTCAAATGTATTTTTAGGTTTTAAATATGTTTTAGCTTTAAAGATTTCAAACTTTTATAAATTTTTTAAATCTGTTTATAAATAGTCAGTTAATGAAGAAGAAGAAGGAAGAGAAAATAAAAAGTTGGAGAGGAAGTAAAAGAAAAATGGAGAAGGAAAGGAAGAAAAAGAAGAAGAAGGAAAAGGAAGAGAAAGAGGAGAAGGAGTAGAAGGAAGAAGAGGGAGGAAAAGAAAGAAAGAGAAGTAAGAGAAGGAGGAGAAGAGGGAGGAAGAGGAAGAGGAGGGATAGAGAAAGAGAATACCTATATATATAAAATAAGTATGTTTCAAAAGCATACTAATCTAAATAATGATAAATGTTGCGTAATTTAAATTAATTTTTATAATTTAGATATCTTTTAAATAAAATTTTAAATTTTATAAAATTTCTTAAATATTTATATTTATAAATATATAATCAGCAGAAGAAGAGAGAACAAAAAGATGTATAAAAGTGAGCACCTTTCAGGAAAGCATACTGATCTATAAAATAAAGAATTTTTACATACTTCAAATGTATTTTTAGATTTTAAATATGTTTGAGTTAAAGTTCCTTAGAAAGTTATACTTGTGCTAAAAATGAGAAGAGAAGAGAAGAAGAAAGAATAGATAGATGCCTTTATAACCAGTGCATTCATGGGTCATTTATAGAGTCGTGGAAGATTATATTTTGTACATTATAAATATCAAGTTCAGTGTCCTGTACAGTATGATGTATCATATTGAGCATAACACTATCTGATATTCTTATCTGATAAATCGCAACATAAGTCACGCTTTTACTTTAGATAAGTACAAGGAAATGGACAAATCTCTTAAACAGAAACTGAACATAAGTAGTTTACGGTTTATAAATTACGGAATTCAACATTTAAATATAAATGTTGATAATAATGTAAATTTTTTTCAGTATAAATAAATTTATAATATATTTAATATTAATGTAAACAGAATGTATTTACAAGTACTATATTAGTATTATGTTCCTTATAAAGTTTAGGTAATTTAGATAAAATAAAATAAATTTTTAAATTTTTATTAAATACATTATTTAAATCATAGATTTAAATATATAATATGAATATTTTATTGTAGATCTCTGTTAGAAAATCAATTTTACGCGAGGTCTTCTTCGACCTTTTAGAGGTCCTTCTTTAATGGTGAAAGAAGCCACTATCTTCTGAGGACCCCAATATAATAAAACAAAACAGAGTTTAAAAATTTGTATTATATTTTTTTAATTAATAACATTTGAAAAAAATAAAGGCATTGTTCTTAATACATAAAAATACAATTAAAATGAATAATTTATAACATGTTTTTGAGGCCTCAATGTACAACGTCTGATCAAAATGCCCCCGTGATACGACCTGACATCTCATATAACTCTGTATTTATATACCTTTTATCCAAAGTAATTTTTAGATGGAGTATCCAGTAAGAGTAAAATGATTAATTTATTATTACACATACATTAATAATCAACTTATATATTGATAGATTTTATGTAATATGTTTGATGTAAGATATATTACACGAAGGAATATTGTTACAAATAATACATTCCTTCATAATATCATTGAAAATATTGATAGAATGTGATATCACTTTCGATATGCCACAGTTTGATGAAAAGTTAATAAATAACAGTTTCTTTATATTGATCTTACCAAAAAACAATCGTTATTAATATAAAATATGATTCACATATTTATTATTTATAATCAAAGATTTCTATATTGAACAAAGCATTACAAATAACACAAGTCAATTGTATATAAGAATAGTTTTACTTTAGATATTCTAATATAAAGCTACTAAAGAACTTATTCCTTTATAGATTTATCGTATTTTACATTTAACTCTTGCCGTTCTGTGGGCAATTAGAGGGCCTTTTTCCATACCCATTGCAAGCCCACATTGGAATCGATCGGGTGGTGAGGGACGGGGCCCCACATTCCCGGAATAAACCTCTTATGAGAAAATTCTTGTGTAATTGCTCACTTGGATTCGATTCCAGATCCCCTAGAGCGGTGGATTGGCGCCTCGATCATTACATAGTCTTATATAGAACTGTATGAAATCTACTTTTATATTATTACATAGTAGGCCTACTATTAAGTAAGAACATAGGCACATTACTAGCTCTATATGAGTAGTGATCCTTTATATTCTTATATAAAATATAACTGCTAAAGAACTGCTACGTGTGTGGAACAATTCATTATGTACAGTACAATGCTAATAAAACACATTAAAAATATAAAGAATAGTTTTATATAAATA